GAAAACTCCAGAACCTTCCTTGGCCGAACTCAGGCCCTATAAAAGCGCGCCCTCGAACCGAGGCAGTCAGTCAGTCAGAATCAAGCAGTCAGTTACAGTCAATCATTTATCGTCACGTAGTTATTAGTAGTGAATAGTGTATTGTAATCATAGTCGCGCAGTTATTTTAAACAATTATTGTAACATCGTCACGAGAAAACTGTACGAAATAAAACTGAATAAACAATTTTTATAATAATCAGTGTGACGATTCTTACATCTTACGCGCCTTACGTGTCTTATGCTTATTCGCGGATCTTTGTTAATTAAGATTTTGATATACCTATTGTAAATCTCGCAAAATGGTATAAGACTTTTCGACTTCTTCTACCTGCCTACGAGAAAAGTAATTGTCGGACATCCTGTATACAAAGTGTCTGACAACAAATGAATAAGCCGAAGTGTGTAAGTAGATCGGGTCAATATGAACAAAAAAGTTATGTATCATTTTGCATAATTTGCAGTAGTTATTGAGATAATAATTAATAAATGTGAATTAATAAGCGCGCGGGCAATGATTGGAATCTGTAAGCATGCACGATTATCAGCTGTGATGTACACACATACAGGATGTCCGACAATTGGTGTAACATCTGACACCTGTCCAAGAGCATCTCAGTATCAGGCTGTTCCTGAAACCCTGATGAAATAAGTTGAAATGTTCACGAAACGTATAAAAATGACACTAACGCGCTTCAAACCCGAAAAACATCTTTGAATGTTAATACAACACACTGCAAAAACATCAAATATCACAAAAGTATTTTTTTATTATCATATTTTACTAAAATATATATATATGTATATAATATAATACAATAAAATATAATGCAACTTTTCTAACAGATTCCTTTTTTATTTTATTAACAGTTTATTTTTGCAGTATGTTTTAAACATAGACATATATATATAGACTAGAAATTGAGAGAAATTAACAAGCTCGCGATGCTTACAGATCTAATTAACTTCGCGTACGACGATAACTTACGCGCAAAGTCTGCGTTGCGCAATACGTTTGTTTGTTTTTATTTGCGTATACCTCGTGTATACAATGTAACATACGTAATATACAGGGTTGGGAAGTAACGCGTTACTTGTAACGACGTTACCGTTACAGTTACTTTTTTTTGGTAACGACTCCGTAACAACGTTACTTTTTTTTATTTGTAACGAAAGCAGTAACGACGTTACATTTCTTCGGTAACGAGTAACAAAATGAGGCGTTACTTTATCGTTACTTTCAAATTTATAATATTTTTCTTACATAACGGTGCCTGCAGAAAAACACTTCAATGCGTTATGCGCAATGCCAGTCAACGTTATGCTTTTGTAGAAAAGTAGCATATTGATTGGCTATCAAGTCGGTTCTAGCCTCGCGTAACATGTCTTGTCTACAAACGTCCATAAAACAGACGCTAATCGCAGATAACATTGAATTTCAATAAAAATTACAGACTGTTTGATTCCTTGTCTAGATCTTCATCAGTATACAAAACAAAACAAATTAAAATTAAAAGTTATTGTAGTAAGATGATTGCGCACTTACAATGTGAAGCATTAATAATTTAATTATTTCTGTTGTACATTGATAAAGATTCAAACAAAGAGATCGAAATTTTTCGTCTGTAATTTTTCTTAGAATTTAATAAAAAGCACATACACAAACATTTTGTGGTTTTGCTCGCATCTATCGAAATATGTCGGTTCATCTCACGAGTTTATTCAATTAGTGTATTTAATACATTTCAATATTTAATACATTTTGTTCATACTGTGACGGGGTAAAACCCCGCTACTACTATGTATATATTACTATGTATATATTATTATTATTATCACTATTATTATTTTTGTTATTAAATTACTTTGTATTATTTTGTATTTTTCTAGTATTATTCTTTTATAAAAAACAAATGAATTTTGGCTATTGAAGCAATAACACTGTTGGAGTGTATATATTAAAATCCGTTTATTAACAATTTGATAGCATAAACGCTTTCGACCTTGTATTAGGTCCTTTTTAAATGCATTTCTACAATGAATTAACGTATAAATACAATTNATAAAATACAATTAATGAAATTTAAAAAGTAATTAAAAATCGCAGAATAAATATAATATAATATACAGAATAAATATAAATATAATATAATTTATGATGTCTATAATTGATACGTTATTCGTAAATTTGAATTCTATCATTATACACACGCTGTTTCTCAGTCGCAATTTCACTCTTGTAAAGTGTTGGTCGGGATGGCTAGTGCGGATATTCTCGATCAGCATTGAGCGACGTATTTTATCTAAGAAATTTGTAAGTAACTTTTGTATATTATATTTATTCTGCGATTTTTAATTACTTTTTAAATTTCATTAATTGTATTAATTTCATTAATTGTATTTTATTAATTGTATTTATACGTTAATTCATTGTAGAAATGCATTTGAAAAGGACCTAATACAAGGTCGAAAGCGTTTATGCTATCAAATTGTTAATAAACGGATTTTAATATATACACTCCAACAACAGTGTTATTGCTTCAATAGCCAAAATTCATTTGTTCTTTGAAAATTCTTGAAGCTACATACAATCATCTTTACATAATTATTCTTTTATATTAAATATCTTTTATATTATATTATATCGCGTTACTCCCGCTTTAATTCCTGCGACCCGCTTATATAGCCGACCGCGAAAACAGCACACGCGTGTGCGTCAACTCGCCGCGCTATAATACCTGCGACGTACCTATAGCGACACACACACGTCAGCCAGCAGATGCGTGACGTGGCGCTCAAACAACCGCGTTCCACACGCCGACCCCAGACGGACCAGGCCGCTCCGGGGTATAAAAGCCAGCCGATCTCAGCAGTCAGGACCTATTCTTTTCCCGGCACTCGAGGTGTTGACTCGAAAGTCACTCCTAGAAACCGAGCTCAAGGTGCTGACTCGAGACTCTTATTCTGCTACCGCTCTCCGAGGAGTTGACTCGGAGATACCGTTCCGGTCTCGAGGTGTTGACTCGAGATACCGACTTCCGGCAATCCGAAGTGTTGACTCGGCCGCCATCCCGACCGTTTCTGTCGAGGTGTTGACTCGACTTCCGGCATCCCGAGGTGTTGACTCGGCCGCCATCCCGACTACTTCCGTCGAGGTACTGCCTCGATTTCCGGCGCTCTGGCGCACAATCGGCCGTTGTAACCGCCACTTCATTAAAAACAGTCGTTCTCACGACTCACAGAATCAGTCGTTCTCACGACTCAATCCCCGCAATCTGTATATAAGACCTGTGTATATATCTTCCCCGCCGCATTAGAATTAAGTAATTACCGCGCTGACACGGTTCCCGCTGCTCCGAAATCTACCGATCGCGTCTATTAAATTAGCGCGTAAATTACCGACCAAATCTTCGCGGTAGATTAGATAACGCTAATCTAACGGACCGACAAAACCGCATTGTAAATATCTAATAGAATAAACCACAATACCTTACAGCATTAAAACAACCGAGTNTCGCAATTTCTCGCCTTCCCCTCTCCCGAACCTTGGCAACTACCGAGCCGTCCGGCAGGCGGAAGGCCGGGCAAAATCGATAGAAAATCGGCTCCGTTACAATTATATGTAATACATTTATTCAATTAGTATTTAATACATTTTGTTCATACAGTTTGATAATTAAAAAGTAATGTTGTGATTTATTTTATTGACTTGATACTTAACTTTAGATTTGACGTTACGTTTGAGAAAAAGGAATTAATAGTTGCTTACATCCAAAATTCAAATTGAATTGGATAACAGGAGAAAAACGGAAACTTGCAGAAAGCTATTTAGAAAACGTGTTAGGGATTCAATCAAACGAAAATTCTTCAAAGAGTGATCTAAATTCCGATAAAAACGATGTCTTTTTTGTTTTCCGTCAACAAACAACACGAGATGAATCTACACAAGAAGAGTTGAAAAGATTTTTAATCCAAAAATTTAATTGTTGAAGCGTTACAAGATTATCCAAAACTTAAACAACTCTTTCGAATATAATACTGCACTTCTTAGTAGTGCAGCCGTTGAACGATTATTCAGCATCGGAGGATTAGTACTAACACACAAAGGAGTCGTCTATATGATGATACGATGGAACATCAACTTTTATTAAAAATGAACAAACTGTATTTTTAAAAATATATCTTTTAAGAGAGATAAATTTTTAAAAAATTTATTGTGATAAAATATCTTTAAAAGAGTGTCTCTAAAGAAAAATCTTATCTAACTTTACATTATTCATTTACAGGACATACACATATATCTTATTCTGAGGAAAGAAAGACATCTGTCCATTTCAATTAAAACTCCGAAAGTGGCTATTTTTATCCTAAATGTGTGTTATTACACTTATATAAATTACCTAAAATCTACTTATTAATCTAGACATTATTTGTATTTAACATTTGTGCCTACTCTCTCTTCTGTATTATTAATAAATACTAAGATTATTTATATCACATATGTCATACTTCATTGTTTTATTGTTAAGTTTTATTGTTAAGTTTACATTTATGATAAAATAAAATTCTTAAATGTATCTAAAATTTTTAAATATATTTTAATGTTAAAAATATATATCATTATGTATTTTTAAAATTATAGAACTATAAATATGCTTTATACAAGTTTAAATTTATTAATAAAGTTCCTTTTTCTCTAGTGTTCTTTCTAAATGTAAAAAAAGTCGAATGATCTTTTATGTAATTACGTTTTCCGTTTAGTAACGGAAAGTAACGATTCTACGAGGGTGGGGTAAAAAGTTTCCGGCCTGACCTAGAAATGGCGCCAGCAGGTCTAATTTTTGGCCTGTATTAAATAGTACTATATCTCACTAGCTTGTATATAAATTTTCAGGTCGATTGCTCTGTTAGTGTACATTTGAGAGCCGATTGAACAAGATGCCTCGATTGCTTACGTGAAAATGGAAAAATCAGAGAAGCGTGCGGTCATCAAATACTATTATTTAAAAGGCCTAACACCATTACAAATTAAAGAAGAGCTGGATTCCACACTGAAAGACTCTTCTCTATCATATTCAACGGTTAAACAGTGGGTTTCTGAATTTAAGAAAGGTCGCACGAGCACTTCTGATGATCCACGTTCAGGACGCCCCGTTGAGGTCACAACTCCCGAAATAATTGAAAAAATTCATAAAATAGTGATGGAGGACCGCAGATTAAAAGTAAGTGAGATAGCTGAGGCTACTAGGATGTCAACTGAACGTGTACGCAATATTTTACATAAACATTTGAGCATAAGGAAGCTCTGTGCTAGGTGGGTGCCGCGTTTGCTAACGGTCGATCAAAAATTCACCCGGAAAACTGTTTCAATCAAAAATTTGGCGCTGTATAAGCAAAACCCCAGCGAATTTTTGTGTCAATTTATAACTGTGGATGAAACTTGGATTCACCACTACACTCCTGAAAGTAAACAGTCGAAACAATGGATTGGACCAGGTGAACCAACTCCAAAGAAAGCAAAAACAATTTTATCGGCGAATAAGGTTATAGCGACTGTTTTTTGGGATGCAAAAGGAATTATTTTCATTGATTACCTGGAGAAGGGTAAAATCATCACTGGTCAATACTACGCAAAATTATTGCAGCGTTTGAAAGACAAAGTAAAAAATAAACGACCTCACTTGACAAAGAAAAAAATTTTGTTTCACAATGACAACGCACCTGCCCATTCGTCGGTCGTTGCAATGGCTAAAATCAACGAATTGAAGTTCGAATTGTTCCCCCAACCAGCATATTTACCAGATTTAGCCCCCAGCAACTATTATTTGTTTCCTAACCTTAAAAAATGGTTCAGAGATAAAAAATTAGAGAGCAACGAGGAAGTCATCGATGCTGTAAATGAGTATTTTGAAGGACTTGACATATCGAACTATAAAAATGGTATCACTGCATTAGAGCACCGTTATGAAAAAGTATTAATCTTGATGGAGATTATGTTGAAAAATAAAGCAAATAAAAACGAAAAAAGTTGTTTTTCTTTATCAAGCCGGAAACTTTTCACCCCACCCTTGCATACTCGTTACTTCTAAGGAACGGTAACGCGTAACTTTTTACAATCGGTAACGAGTAACGGTAACGAGTTACTTTTTTCAATGGATAACAAGTAACGGTAACGCGTTACTGATGTTCCAACCCTGGTAATATATTATAATACATTTCGCGTACGGCTTACTTCATGTATCATTTAGCGTCGCATTGACGTTGCGGCATTTTTTTCGCATTCCCCAATAGTCAAATGATAGCAGTATGTCAGCAGTACGCACGCAGGTTTAATCAGCACTTTGCAGCAGATTCCACTCAGCTGTGTCATCATAGTGAGTGAATTATGTAGGCACGATACGTAAAGAAAACAACACAGCAAAAATATAGAAATAAATGAAAAATGAAATGACAAAAGCACTTTATGCTTCAAATCTGCTACATTTTTTGAGCAAGTTCTGCTTGATCAATGCAATAATATTTGCATCATGGCATGACACATTTATATCCTTTTTTTTCTGTTTTTCTGTCGACACTAGTTGAAATAACAGATTATGTTTGAATGCTGGCTACATTACTGGCATAATGTGTTATTGCAGACTTTGCAAAATATGCTCACTCGTTTTGGTTATCTGAGTTGTTGCATTGTCGATCGCCATTTTCATACAGTCTATACGTACACGTCTATGATTTTAAAACACGTCTAATTAAAGATTAATTATAATTACTATTATAAAAATGTTTATAGGCTTGCATTGTTTGTAGTTCAAGTTCTACAAGTTTTATACCTACTCTAACATGTTTTTTTGTTTTTTTGTACGTGGGGAAATCCTTTATGGATATCCTGATTCCTTGGAAGGGAACCAGGATTATGTGGCACTTCCTCCTCTCACCCGCAAGAGAAAGAAGGTATACCCACTAAAAACTCCACGGTGGGCCTACACTGCAGATTGTGGGGAGGACCTGGAACCTCTGTGAAGAACTCTACCAGGACCTTCTTCCGCAACTACATGGGGAGGTGATGGCCTCTTCCCCAAGGTTTTGGTGTTGGTAGTGACAGAGTGTGGCCCACCTACACCCTGCCACTCCTGCTATGGGGTTAGCGCGGACGAAACAGAGCTCTCACTCTAATCCGCCGCAATCCCCGGCAGCGACACGCGCTCTCGGGAGGGGCAGACAAAGGGAGGGAGGGAAGACAGGTTTCCCCCTCTCGCCCTCAGCCCTCTCCCAACGTCCCCATCGCTGCCCCCCACCCGAAAAGGCCCTCCCACCGCACAGAAGAGAAGGCGGGAAACCTCTCCCAGCAATGGAAGAGTACAGAACAAGGGGGAAGGGTAGGGTTCCCTTCCTCACAACAGTGGAAGAAGGAAGCCGGGCTCCGGACTACCCATCCAGATCCGGATCCACCATCCTGAAACCCGACTAAAAGAAATCACCCCCGGTAGGGGTGACATCCGGCAACAATGGTGTGACCGCCACCGTGCCGGACCCTACTTGTTGTGATACCTAACCTAACCTAACCTAAGCTTCCTGACCAAAACTTGCGTCGTTCTATGTTTTTTAGAAATAAATGAGATGGTATATTCTTTCCAGAATTGCAAGTCGAGAGACACAATCAAGATAAACTCCTATATAGTTCAGATAACTAAATGTGTTGAAACAGATTTTGCCAAATGCTTGTTACAAATTTTGTTAGCAGAAAAACATCAAATATGATGCAGAGTTTGTTTTATCTAGCAATGTTGCAAAATTGTTAGCAAAAATATATCCAAGCTTGTTGATAAAACATAACAGCAAATTGCTGGCAAAAACCGAGCAAAATCTTGCACATAATTTGAGACCAAATTGACGCCAAATATGAAGCAGGATCTGCGCAACACAACTTGATAGCAAAATAACAGCAAAAACCGAGCAAGACTTGCAATTCAGTCAAACTATATGGTATTTAAAGAGCCATTTAATTATTTCTTGACTTTATATTTGACTATTATATTTTTATATTATATATGTACACACACACACTATCTATAATCTATAATATATATAAAATTACTTTTACATTTGAGTATTTAATCTATTTCCAATAATTAAATATTAAAATGACATAATGAAATATTTTTTTATCAAATTAAGTATTAGAAAGTCTATACAAGCGATGTATGCGCAATTTATGTATGTATAAATTTATAAAGAATTATTGACATATATCCTAAATTTATATTAATTTTTGCTTTTTAACAAAAAAGTTAACTACAGCCACGAAAAATATGAATCGTGTTATGAAATTAGATAAATTTTTTTTGTATTATTGAAATAATACAAATGGGTAATAAATCTATAGTTTTCCAGTTAATTATGTTTAATTTACTTTTATTATTATTATTGGTAATCATTTTGATTATTTCCGCATTTGACGGTACTTTTTTAAGGCACAAATGTGTTTTCATCATTTTTTCATTATGCAATCTTGTACGATTTCTTCGTTTACATTCTTGTAATCATCAATTTGTCGTAAATTGTTCAAGAGATTATTGTCCGTAATGCTCTGCTCTATATTAACGGTTGAAGTTTCAAAAAATATATCTAGTAATATTTGTTTCCAATATACTTCAATATAGTTTTACCATCTACAGATTTGCACGCATTGGCTATCTAATATATCACATCTTTTATAATAGCTTTCAGCTGTGTCACTAAGCTGTTTGTGCTATTTTTTTGCTCATATAAGAGTAAAACCAAAAATATTGATCTGTAGTTTTTCTTTAAATTCTCAATAATTCTCTGATTTATTGGCTGAATCAATAAAGTAGTGTTTGGTGGTAAATAAATGATTTTAACTTGATCTGTTGAAAGAGATTCTACCAAAGGAGGCGTTATCTATAAAAAGCACAGCCTTAATCGGAAGATCATTATCAAGTAAGAATTGTTTTACAAACTCATTCTTGAACCACCGTTCAAAAATCGCTGCACTCATCCACGCAGTTTTTTGGTGAGCATAATAAACAGGTAATGTACTTCTACTCACACAGCACACTTTATCATAGGGATATTCTACAGATATTATTATGGGATATCAATATCTGTAAAACATACCAAAATGATCTCAGATATCTGAGAGATGTCCATAAGTTGTACTAATGTCCGCTTTAGTGATATCTTACGGATAACAGATGATGTCTAAAGAATATCCGAGAGAACTCAAGAAATATCGTACGATATAATCTACATAGCACGTAATATTATTGCAATATCACGGTAATATTGTTTTTCCATTGCAATATTACACTCTAATGTAGTATAGAAATATTACCGTAGAGTTAATGTAATATCACAGTAATATTAAAATGTCTGCCGAAATGCATAACAGCAATATTACGGTGATATATGAAAAACAAAAAATCAATAGCACATCGCCTTGTAAGAGAAGAAATTAAATTCGAGTTGTCACTTGAAGTAATCTTTAAAGGCTTGATTCAGTTTACCGATCAACTGATTAATTCGATGAAAGATACGGGGACCCGGAAAAAATCCTGAGATGATGGTAGGATTCGAACTCGAGATCTTCATATTCGTAACACCTGCACTCAATCCGCGAGATGTTCATCACTTGTTCTTTACTAAAATATAATTCTTTTATCTAATCATTATCAAGCTATTCTATACATTTTATTTATTATTTATTTACGTTGTTATTTTATTAAACCTATTGCAGTGCAATGTAGCTACAACAGTGGATAAAAATATTTTTCTTATTATTAGTATCATTATTACTATTATTCCTATTGCTATGGTTATTGTTATTATTGTTTTTATTGTTATTGTTATTATTGTTGTTACTGTTGTTGTTGTTGTTGTTATTATTATTGTTATTTTTATTATTAGTATTAGTACATGTAATTTAATATATATTATTACAACGCGTGAACAAATATTTTGTTACCATATACTGATTATTATAGTCAAGTCTTAATAAATATATACCAAATGATATATATACAAATATGTATATACATTTATATGTATCACTTTTATTATATAATAATAGTTATATAGTAAATAATTATATAGTAAACATGTTATACACACACAAAGTGTTTTTGTTGATATAATACATTTCGAAAACAAATGTATAAAGACGTTCTAATTTTTCAGATGTTTAAATAACTTTTAGACATTAACATACAAAGATGTTGTTTCGGGTTTGAACCGCGTTAGTGTCATTTTTATACCGACGTTTCGTGAACATTACAGCTCACTTCATCAGGGTTTGAAGAACATCCTGATACTGAGATGCTCTTGGTCAGGTGTCCCTTTTTATAGCGCTAGATTGAAGTGGAAGGGGTGTGGTGGAGGAGGGGTGGAATGGTAAGAAGGAGGGGAGGATGTGTTTATGGCAAGATGGAATGCCATAGTGAACTAGTCATATGTCCATTGTTTCTATTGAGATTGTTTGGATGTTTGTATATCTCCAGAGATTCTGTATATTTTCTAGGGAAGTAAGCCCTAGTTTTGTTTAGTACTTTTGTTTAGTACTTTTGTTTAGTACTAATCTCTGGAGATATACAAACATCCAAACAATCTCAATAGAAACAATAGACATATGACTAGTTCACTATGGCAT